CTTGGACCAGTCCATACAAACCAAATCGCTTGCAATTGTTCACACTGTATGTGTAAGCTGGTGATGTATTACCTTTTGTTTTCAGTATTTTGTATAAAATCTCACTTGAATAAAGAGCAATTGGGTATATAGTGTTGTGACAGCTGCCTTGGGTCATCGACGTCCAGAGTAAAGCTGACAGACCAGGGTAAGTAAGAATGAAAACTTGCACCCTGAAGATGAACTTTGGGGCCTGGAATTTCAGAACATGTATGGACAACTCCAGCAGAGACAGACCGGAATATCACACCTTCATTATCACCTTGAGATCTCTTGTGCTGCAACAGTAGCATCACTGCCCTGAATGAAACTCAATGAGCAGTAGCAGCTCAGCTAAAAGAACGAGGTGCTGGACATATCTTCTTCTGGGAGGGCAAATCTGAGGCACAGTGCAACTCCATGGAGTTAGATTCACCATTAAAAAACACAATCAAGGGAGACTGTGGCTTGGAGGGGAGCTTGAAGATGGCATTCCAGTGCAACGGCTGCCCTTGTCCTTCCTGGGGATGTAGAGGTAGCAGGTTTAGGAGCTGCGGTTGAAGGAGTCTCAATGATTGCTGCAGTGAAGTGTAGATTGCACTGACAACACCTGGGGCAGTGGTCGAACTATTCCATGCTATTGCTGAGTTGTTGTTCCATCATCTTACATACCCAGTTTTATTGCCTAACGCTTCTGCGCATTGAAGTCAAGATGTCTTTCTGTAGCTCCTCTTTCTTTCCTAGTACCATGGTTAAAAAGCTGCTGAAAATGCTTATTGCAGACTGGGCTGGAGAGTGGCGATGGTGGTGGAGGATTCACATTTTAATGGGATAGAAAATGAAAATATCATTCATTCACCGGAACACATAAACATTCCACTGAAACAGCTGGAAGATCTTTGGTTTACAGGAAAGCTGATTGTACTAACTCTCATTTTTAGGATACAAAGCTTGAACAGCTTAATAAACATTCTAAACTACGCATAAAATCACAGCATAACATATCATAGCAGGAAGCCCTTCTACCTTTCACGGGCTGGCTCTTCACTGTTAAAGGTCACCCAGCACAAATGGAAGATGAGCTCAGAATTCTCACAATGCCATAGAATCATGCAGCTTTCTTTATTCTCAACTAATTCATTTATATAAATGACAAAAAAAAGTGGACCCAGCACTGGTCCCTGTGGAACATCACTGGTCACAGGCCTCCAGTCCAAAAAATATCCCTCCACCACCACCCTCTGTCTCCTGCCACGAAGCCAATTTTGTACTCAATTGGCAAGCTTGCCCTGAATCCCATGTCTAACTTTACTAATTAGTCTCCCACGCGTAACCTTGTCAAAGGCTTTACTAAAGTCCAAATAAACAATAAAAACCGAAAGAACTGCGGATGCTGTAAATTGGGAACAAAAACAGAAGTTGCTGGAAAAGTTCAGCAGGTCTGGCAGCATCTGTGAAGAAAAAAATCAGAGTTAACGTTTCGGGTCTAGTGACGCATAATGGTTAAAATCATGGATGATGGATAATGATTAAGGGCAAGGACTGTCAATTGTTTTCCCTTCCAATCCAAAGACACTGAGACAGATATATCTTTCTTGTTACAACCTCAGCCAGTATCATCAAAAAAATACACCTCAAACCAGGGGCCAACACTGGGATCTTTTGATGCCAACCATCAACTCATCATGGCTTCTGATGTAGGAACCACAGAGGATTTACAACACAGAGGAGCAACAAAGCTAGACCCATTACCCTACAAGTCACTGCTTTTTTTTTTCTATTCATTTGTGGGATGTGGATGTCTTTGGCTGGGCAGGATTTCTAGTTGCCCTTGAGAAGGTGGTGGTGAGCTGCCTTCTTGAACCGCTGCAATTTAAGCTAACATCCAGGTTCTATTTATATATGGTGAGAATTTCTACCTTGACCACCCCCGGGTGAAAAACTGTCTCATCTCCTTTCTGTCAGTTACTTTAAATCTGTTCCCTCTGATTTCTGACCACCTTCTCCCCACCTCACTAAGGAAAAATAGTTGGCCCCTATCTATCTCGGAGGCTTGCAGTTTTATACGTCTCAAAGAAGATATAGAAACATAGAAACATAGAAGATAGGAGCAGGAGGAGGCCATTCGGCCCTTTGAGCCAGCTCCACCATTCATCACAATCATGGCTGATCATCCTACTCAGTAGCCTAATCCTGCTTTCTCCCCATAACCTTTCATCCCATTCACTCCAAGAGCTATATCTAGTCGCCTCTTGAATACATTAAATGTTTTGGCATCAACTGCTTCCTGTGGTAATGAATACCACAGGCTCACCCACTCTTTGAGTAAAGAAATGTCTCCTCATCTCCATTCTAAATCGTCTACTCCGAATCCTCAGACTGTGATCCCTGGTTCTGGACACACCCACCATCGGGAACATCCTCCCTGCATCTACCCTGTCCAGTCCTGTTAGAACTTGTTAAGTGTCTATGAGATCCCCCCTCATTCATCTGAAATCCAGTGAAAACAATCCTAACCCATTCAGTCTCTCCTCATATGTCAGGCCCACCATCCCCGGGATCAGACTGGTAAACCTTGGACATCCAGCTCTACACTTTGTTATCTCAGATTCTCCAGCATCTGCAGTTCCTACTATCTCTGACACAATATTCCAGGTTTGGCCTCACCAAGGCCCTGTATAAATGCAACAACACATCCCTGCTCCTGTGCTCAAAACCGCTCGCAATGAAGGCCAACATACCATTTGCCTTCTTTACCGCCTGCTGCACCTGCACGATTACCTTCAGAGACTGGTGCACAAGGACACCCAGGTCCCGCTGCACACTCCCCTCTCCCAATTTACAGCCATTCAGGTAGTAATCTGCCTTCTTGCTTTTGCTTCCAAAGTGAATAACCTCACATTTATCCAAATTATACTGCATCTGTCATTGATTTGCCCTCTCACCCACCCTGTCCAGATCATGCTGAAGGATCTCTGCATCCTCATCACAGTTCATCCTCCCACCCAACTTGGTATCGTCTGCAAACTTGGAGATGTTACATTTTGTTCCCTCATCCAAATCATTAATATATATTGTGAATAGCTGGGGTCCCAGCACCAATCCCTGTGGCACCCCACTAGTTACTGTCTGCCAATTTGAAAAGGACTCATTAGTTCCTACTCTTTGTTTCCTCTCTGCCAACCAGCTTCCTATACATCTCAATGCACTTTCCCCCAATCCCGTGCACTTTAATATTGCACATTAATCTCTTATGTGGGACTTAGCAAACGCTTTCTGAAAGTGCAAATATACTACATCAACTGGCTTCCCCTTGTCAACTCTACTAGTTACATCTTCAGAGAATTCCAATAGATTTCTCAAGCATGATTTCCCCTTCATAAATCCCTGCTGACTCTGTCTGATCCTGCCACTGCTTTCTAAATGCTCTGCTATAAAATCCTTGACAATGGATTTGAGAATGTTTCCCACTACCAATGTTAAGCTCACTGGTCTATAATTCCCGATTTTCTCTCCACGTCCTTTTTTGAACACTGGAGTGACACTAGCCACCCTCCAATCTGCAGGGACTGTTCCAGAGTCTATAGAATCCTGGAAGATGACCACCAATGCATCCACTATTTCTAGAGTTACTTCCTTAAGTACTCTGGAATGTAAATCAGGCCCTGGGGATTTATCAGCCTTCAATCCCAACAATTTTCCCAGCACTATTTCTCTACTAATGTTGATCTCCCTCAGCTCTTCCCTTTCACTAAATCTTGCAACTTCTAACAATTCTGGTATCTGATTTGCATCCTCTCTTGTGAAGACAGAACCAAAGTATGTATTCAGTTCCTCAGCCATTTTTTGTCCCCTATTACACATTCCCTACTTTCTGTCTGTAGCGGATCTACATTTGACTTTACCAATCTCTTTCTCTTCATGTACCAACAGAAACTTTTAGCATCCATCTTTATGTTCCATGCAAGCTGGCTTTCATACTCTATTTTCCCCTTCTTGATCAATCTCTTGGTCCTTCTTTGCCGAATTCTAAACTGTTCTGAATCCTCAGATTTATTATTTTTCTTGGCCAATCTGTATGCTTCTTCCTCGGATACAGTCTCTATTTCCTTTGTAAGCCATGGATTGTCCCCCTTACCCATTTTGCTTTTGCAACAGACAGGAATAAACAGATATTGCAGTTTCCTCTATGCGTTCCTTGAATGTTTGCCAATGCCTATCCACTGTCATCACTTTAAGTAACTCTCCCCAATCTATATTCCTCATCCCAAGGCAAACAGGCGAGCCTATTTAATCTTTTTTATATTCACAATTACTCAGTCCAAGTGACATCCTCATAAATCTCACCTGCATCCTCTCCAATGCAAACAGATCATTCCTGTACTGCGTGATCAGAACAGTAAATAGTAGTCTAACTAGTACGTAACTAGTAGAGTTGACAAGGGGGAGCCAGTTGATGTAGTATATTTGCACTTTCAGTCTTACATCAAGTTCTAGCATAATCTCCCACAAGGCAGCTTTCCCTGTTTTGGCACTTTCAAAGGTGGCACAGAGCACCCTTGCGCCAATGCAGAGCAGCACACTGGGGCATTTGGCTGAAACTGTGGATCTCATAGTTTTACTTTACTCATGTCTTTGTGAGATACAACCTGACACATCCTCCAAAGAGAAGGGCAAATGAGATTGATGCCTATGCACTTCTGCAGCCTTGCCAACAGGCTGAGCAATGGTTGGGATTTACCTCTCCAGGAAAGATGCACAACCAAGGGACACGCAACCACTTCACCTGACGAAGGGGCTGCACTCTGAAAGTTTGTGATTTCAAATAAACCTGTTGGACTACAACCTGGTTTCCTGTGACTTCTGACTATGTTCACTCTAGACCAACACCGGCACCTCCACATCATGGCAACCAAGGGATGACAAGGGAAGGGAAAGCACTTCATCCTATTAAGACTCCACTGGCAGTAAAATGTCCTTACCTTCTTCTCTGGGTCAGGTTGGCGAACAGGGTCACAGCCTGGGGCTTGAAGCTGGGCATGACTGGGATCCGCGCTATGTTTTCCTGTGATGTAGTTATTGCTCGCTCTTGGGGCTGATCACAAACCTTACTCACCTGCAACACAAAAGCACACATGAGCATTCAATTCCATTTTGCAAATAAATCATTGCAAGTGGTGTCAAGGTACAAAGCACCAGGAGTATCGTTGTTAAGCTTAATATCTGCTTGGCTCTTAACAGTGCCATTTTCCAACTCATGTTTCAATCAGCAAACAACCTCAGAGAGGCATGAGTGACCAGGAGGGACATCATAAACCCAGCGCTCTGAAAACAGATCAAGTGCACAAATACCAAATGCAGGAGTTAGCGCTGAACTGCTGCTAACTCTACTTTCAGACTCTGCCCAGATAAAATTCCCACTCCTCCAGCATTCAACCATCCACTGTGTATGCTGTTCAGTTACTTTTTTTAGATCTTCTATGTTCTTATTTATAAATAAACACACTTCCATGCCTTACAAAGTGGTGGTAAAGAAGCTGGCAGCTGACCAGTGAAGGACATCGCAATCAGACTACAAATTTAGCAGAAATGATGAACATCTTCCAAGTTAAGTGGATGCACCCAGGGAACAAATAAATGTTTAAGTTGAGGAGGGGGTTTTTGAAAAGTTTCATAGAGACAGCAAGTGATGCAGAGGCAGAGGGGTTTACAAAAGATGTCCAAAGAAAGAATCAGAGCTGCAGAAGGATCAGACTGGGATCAAAAAGGATGGCAAATGCACAGATGACTGGACAAAAAGAACCTGGATATTTGAGAGGGAATACAGAACACAAGCTACATTAATGCACCAAGATTCTCTTGCACTCTTTTGAATACCCATGGTCGTTGACAGCTCAACAAATAATGACATTAGCCCTCTGCAATCTCGGCCACACAATTGTTCTTACATGAGCCTTGACAGTTAGTCCCAGCAGGCTATTGGATTCAGAGCTGCATTACTGTATGCATTAGAGCTGACTTCAATGCACACCAACACCATGTATCTCCCAACATTAGCCTGGAGACAGTGATTGGGGGAAGGTATATCAGCAAGCTCATCCATCTCTATCATAGAGGCGGAGAACTACTCCAGTGCCACAATGATCTCACCAGCTAACTCGGCACAAATTATGAGAAAAGTGGAGCTCGCTGCTTATCTATAGCCCAGTCCACTTGCCAACTGAGTCACTCAGCTCCAAACTTTTAAAACACCCTCTCGAATTGCACTTCCTCATTGATGAAGAAAACTGGATGTTCCTTGCCCTTCAGTCTCTTCAATGGACAGCAGCAGCTGTGGTAACATATTGTCTTCACAATGGCCACTTTATGACCCTGTGTGTTTTTTTTCATTGTGAATGTGAAATAAACACATTTTAGGCACATAATCATCATGACCTTTAAGTCACGGAAATCTTGGCAGCCAGATGAAAATACAAGTTACTTCTGAAGCTGGATGGCTTTGCTGGAAGGAACACTGTTGTCCACAGAAAGTGGTGTCAGCTTAAGGTTATGGGTTGCTCTGAATGAGGTCTTCAAGATTCTGATGAGCAAAATAGTACTTGATTGTTTTCACTGTTCAGCAAAACAAGACAGCAGAGATGTGAGAAAAATCACAAAAAAAAATCTACGCAAAGGTTTGGATTAGGGTATTAACTGCTACATTCCATTGTTGATACAGAATGCAGCATTTTTTAAAAGGGAAATTCAAAGGAAGAAACGTTAAGGGCTGTGCACGGTGAGCAGCAGAAAGCGACTAAATCAATTGGTCCATCTGCAAACTGCTGATGACTTGCCTCGACAAAAGTCTCACAAAAGCATTTTGCTGCAACCACAATCGTAGAAAGGAACTGTCTCCTTGCTTTTCCGCAAAATATATCAGGACATCAATTATATCCACCCATTTAACATCTCACCTGAGAGATAACAGTTTCCAATGTGTAACAGAACTATCCCAATACCACATGGGAGTATCAAAATAGATCATATACACAAGTTTTTTAAAGTGGGATTTGAACCCAAAACCTTCTGGCTCAGAAGTAACAGCATGACCACTCAGCCAAGACTGGCACATTGGTACCAATTACTTAAGTGCAGAGTTCAGCTAGATGCCAGGAAACTTTTCTTGCTTGCAGAGCTAGTGAGCTCTGCCTTGAATTGTCAGTGTGTGGTTAGCACAGCTTCACTGTGAGTGTTTAAAAAGATTAGTTCCTGCAAATGGAAAATGTCACCAAGGTATGGAAAGCGGGTGAAAACTGGCCTGGAATTGTTTTTCTGCCCTCCTAACAGCTTCCATCCTGGGACAGGGGCAGGAATGATGAGTTTACAGGTCATGTCATGTTAGCCTCAAATATATAAGTGCTACCCATTGAGTTGTAGCTCAGTGCAAGGTGTGTTGTTGTTGATCTGTCTCCTTGGGCTACAGAAATCAGAGAGGGCTTCTGTGTCATATCATTACCTGGTGACCGCTGATAAAAAGGTATCTGGGTAAAGGTAGATAAAGACAATGAAGATAGGATCTGTGATGACTCTTCCAGTCAAATAGTTTATTCACACTTTTCATATATTTGAACAGCAGAGCATTGATTCTCCAAATGCACCTTCCTAGCATGGATCATTTGTCTCTCATTATTTACATTAGGAAATTACAGAGCACGCTTCCCACAGCTTGTTATCCACTGGGAAGCAACATGCACCCGATCTCCCAAAATATGTCACAGCACATGAGGCTCCAGTTATAATGGGGAGGCAATGACCTAGTAGTATTATTGCTGGGCTTTTAGTCCAGGCAATGCTCTGGGGACCCAAGTTACATTTTTACTACCGTTGATTGTGGAATTTGCATTGAGTAAACAAACATTGTCTCGAATTGAGAGCCTAATGATGACCAAGAATTCATTTTTGATTGTCGGAAAAAACCCCATCTGGTTGACTAATGTCCTTTAGGGAAGGAAACTGCCATCTTTAGCTGGTCTGGCCTTCATGCAACTCCAAACTCACAGAAATGTGGTTAACTCTTATCTGCCCTCTGCGAAATTAGGGATAAGCAATAAATGCTGGCCTAGCCAGCGATGCCCCCACACCCTGTGAATGAAAATGAATAATAAATGCTAGACACTCAGTATCATGTGAACTCTGCAAGCCTTTTCCTATTAGCGTTCCCAGGGAGCCAACATGGAATCTGTACAACAGACTGTTGTAGGAAACGAGAACAGCCCAAAAACATCTCATTTGAAATAATTCAATCAACAGAACATTCCAGACAAGGGTTTATTCCATTGCAAAAGTGCTGGCCTTGCCAAAACATACTGTCAGAGCAATCAAAAAGAAAGCATTAATGATAATGTCTACAGTGCCATGTTGTGTCCCATATAGCCCCAGCATCAAAGTTCAAACTGACAAATTCACACAAACAATGAATGCATCAAATGACAATTTATTGACTCTTTATTAGGACAAGGCTGGTACACCATGTGACAGTAAAATAAATATGAAACACATGTTTTCTCCTTAATTATTGGTTCTTGTTTGAAAAAATGGTCTCAAGTTTTTGCTGATATTGTCTGTGAACTCTTGATGCAATACCCTGTGTCTCCTGAGGCACTGCTGTACAAACATGTGCAAAGATTTAGATTCATTGAGTTGTTACTTTTGGAGGGTGGTCATTCTGCCCCATCATGTCCAAGGCCAGCTTTCGCCAAGAGCAACTCATTTCATTAACCGGAACTGCTTTTCCAAAAGCCCTGCTCCTAGATAAACATCCAGTTAAATGCTGAAAGCCATAATTAAATCTGTCCTCATCACACTCCCAGGCAGTGTATCCCTGATCCACACATCGTTGTGCAGAAATGTTTTTCTTCATGTCATCTCTGGTTCTTTTGTCAGCTAACTGAATTCAGACCCCTGATCTTCATCCAGGATTGTGTTCTCGCTCACGGCTAAACTAGTATAAGTTGGCAGGTTGCAGGTTAACCATCTTCCTTCCCCCGAATTCACTCACATTTTCAGGCTGAACCATACCCCTACCAGCAGCACCACCACCACCACTCTATCCCACTTCAATATTTCTGCATTCAAGTACTGTGTCTAGTTCTGGTTGTCCAGTTATAGGAAGTATATTATTAAGCTAGAGAGGGTTCAGAAGAGGTTTATCAGGATGTTGCCCGGTATGGAAGGTTTGAGTTGTAAAGAAAGGCTGGATTGGCTGGGTCTTTATTCACTGGAGCGTAGGAGGTTGAAGGGTGACCTTATAGAGATTTATAAAATCATGAGGGAATTAGATCGGGTTAATGATAGATGTCTTTTCCCTTGGATGGGAAATTTCAAGACAACAGGGCATACTTTTAAGGTGAGAGGAGAGAGAAATTTATAAAAGACATGGGAGACAATTTTTTTACACAGAGAGTGGCTCGTGTGTGGAATAAACTTCCTGAGGAAATGGTGGACGTGGGCACAATTACAACATTTAAAAGACACTTAGAGGGCAGCACGGTGGCTCAGTGGTTAGCACTGCTGCCTCACAGCGCCAGGGACCCAGGTTTGATTCCAACTGTGGGTGACTATCTGTGTGGAGTTTGCACATTCTCCCCGTGTCTGCGTGGGTTTCCTCCGGGTGCTCTGGTTTCCTCCCACAGGCTAAAGATGTGCAGGTTAGGTGGATTGGCCGTTCTAAATTGTCCATAGTGTTCAGGGATGTGTAGATTAGGTGGGTTATAGGGGGACAGGTCTGGATGGGATTCTCTGAGGATCGGTGTGGGCTTGTTGGGCCGAAGGGCCTGTTTCCACATTGTAGGGATTCTATGATTCTATAATTACACAAATAGGAAATGTTTGGAGGGATATTGGGCAGGAGCAAGCAGATGGGACCTGTTTAGTTTGGGATTATGTTCCGCATGAACTGGTTGGTCCAAAAGGTCTGTTTACATGCTGTGTGACTCTATGACTCTATGAAAATGAAACACAGCACAGAAATCCCAGGCTCTGACTGCTGCCCCATGGTTCTGAGAGCATTGCATGGTCCTTCTGTAAAAACAGGCTTGGTTCTGATGCCCGATACGGGTGTAAAATTGTTAACATTGA